TAAATAAAGCAAGTTAGAAAGTGTGACAGTGAAGGGGGATTCGAGGATGGGGGGTGGGTGAATAGGTCAGGGGTACCATGACTGCTTAGCAGACAATTGGCCAAAGCATCGTCTTCATTTGTCCATACGAAGGATAACTGGGTTTCGAGGACTCTCTTGAGATGTCATTGTTGACAAGACCCTCATTTCGTGCGAAAGTGCACGAAGGAGGTTGTATTAAAGCCAAACGGCTGCGCTACGACGGGTGAGATTGACCCTCGAATCCAATCTGCATGCACTTTCATGCGAAATGGAAGTCTCCCCGACCAGTTGCAGTGCCTTGTTACGACTGGCCAAGCGCACCGACAACGCCGGTGAGATGTCTACAAAATCTACTAAGTCATTGAAGCTTTGACGACCAAGATGTTGTGGCCTCTGGTATGGTGGCAATCTACCTTCGATCGTTGTCGCAACTTGGTCTTGTTGTCATGGCGACTGAGTAGAATGCAACTGGTCCGAAATCGTCTGCCATAGTAGTTGTCATGACTCCCAGCATCAGACAGTGGACTTGGTACATTCTCCAACGAACTCGTCAAAGAGACAAGTGAAGTCAATGCCTCGACAACCGTTCTGCCGAAAACGGTTACACTTTCACTCCTCTTTCTTTCTACTCTTTACCCTCTAATCCCACTGCCCCCCTATCACAACTTCTCACTTGGTTACATTGCACTCGTCAAAATGTGTATCTTTTTGTGGTCTATCCTGTTCCTTTGACGAGAAGTTGTGATAGGGCGGCAGTGGGATAAGAGGGTAAAGAGTCTATAGATAGGCCAGGACAGAAAGAGGAGTGATAGTGTAACCGTTTTCGAGGGATTGACTTGACTTGTCTCCTTGACGAGGTCGTAGCAAGAGTCACTGATGCTGCCGGCGAAACGTTTGAGAATGTACCAAGTCCACTGTCTGATGCTGGGAGTCATGACAACTACTAGGCCAGACGATTTCGGACCAGTTGCGTTCTCCTCAGTCGCCATGACAACAAAACCAAGTTGCGACAACGAGGTCAACCCACTTTTACCAAGTCATGCCTACTGCGGTCTCCGGACCTGGTGCCTTCCTCAAGGTCCATCTGTCAGTAGGACCAAGTTGTGAAAACAAGGTCAAGCAGTTCGATAATAATGTAGGATTAAATGAGAAGAGAGAAAGTTCACATACAAACAATTCTGGGCTCTTTCAAAGACCGTCGCAGTCTCCTTTCACTGTGTTGACGTGGTCCTACCTCGTTTCTGCAAATTGATCGTGTTGCCGCCACGACATGATTGAATGCAACCTATCTGAAGTCCTCTGCTGTATTCGTTGACATGGTTCCCAGGGTCAGACAATGGACTTGGTACATTCCCAAACATTTTGCCGGTATCGTCGGTGAGTCTTGTCCTTCTCAGCACGAAGCTACAATTCGTACAATTCGTCTCTTCCCGACAAAACGTCTCTCAATGTACCAGGTCCACTGCCCGATGCTGCAAATGATGATGGACTTTAGACAAGGTGCGTCCAAATGAGTCGTCTTGACGACACGATCAAGTTGCAAGAAAAAGATCAGACCACCTCTTAACAGCCCGGACTAACGGGCTCGGAAGTGTGGCTTCTTGGCCTGACTTTTACTCTGACAGACTTACATCTCATCAATTCAACCGGGGCTACTTACGGACTGACACAAATTCGTGATATATGCGATAAAAAGTTGCGTTTCCAGGACTCTGTTGTCTCACAATTGTTGTGCTTACTTCCATTTCGAGTGAAAGTGTTTGGTGAAAAGAATCGCAGCCCGATCCCATCAGAAGACGACGGCGGATTCCTTTTGCCCACCTGCCGATTGGCTTTACTGCAACACTCATGGCGACGCTGTTTCCGAGGCAATCTGCCTCGATTTCGAGGAAAACCTGTAACGAATCATCATCGTCACAACCAACTTCCAGCTAACGCGTCTCAGAAAACAACTATGAAACAAGAAAGCCCTCGAAACCCAACTTTTCTTGGCAGATAATATCATAATTAACGGTTTTCACTTTAGGCGGGAGGGCAGGACACCAGGACCGGGTTTAGACAAGGTCAGGTCCGCTCCGGTCTCGGGACTCGAGCCCGGTCGCGTCGAAGCGAGCAGAGACGGCGGAATGGCGATGATCCGGTCGAGGTGACGTTGGTCCATTGGTCCGAGATCCCGGGCAGCCGCTGCGTCGGCCAATCGGCGTCGTTGCTACCGCATCCGCACCATCGCAACCGGTCGAGTCCACTTGCAGTCTCGAGTGAAAGTGTGCTTCCTGACGCAATTCGAGAGCCGGTCTCGCTGTCGGTTCAGTTTACTGCAACATTCCTGTTGACGCTGTCTCGACTCGGCCGAAAAGTGTATGCGCAACATCGTCAAGGGCATGGAGGCCGACGTCGTCAACCTTCGACGCCCGAGAACAGGCTCCAATTACTGTGAGCCATGACTTCCGCTTCCGGGCATATACGAGCGGACAAACGCACACGCGGACACACTCACATGCTTTGCGGGTGACATGTGAATTGAACTAACCGCATCACTTTGAACCTCATGAAAAAGGGCTCAGGCATAGAGTGCACGTGGTCAGCATTTAGGCATGAGCCGGTGAATTTTTTTTGACTGGTTGTCAGAATTAGAGTGAATGAAAGATAGTGTACCAATACTACTTGCATTGACCAGTGTTGTGAGTAGTATGGCGAGGCAGTCAAAACGAGACTAGGCCGCTTCAAGTGAGAAAATCTGCAATAATTGAGACGGTATGCTGAGAATTTGCTGGCCTGACGAAGCCTCGAATTGATGGTGAGGATAGGTTCGGGACTCGTGTCAAAAGGTAGAAAAGCGAGTTTTCCAACAATTCCTCGACACATTGTTGCTGGCGCCTCCGGGTTGTACAGCCGACGTTGCTCGCCCCTTCGGGCTGTAGCAGCGACCGGTTCACCGGTTCGTCTTGGCCGTTCGGAGGGACTCGATGACTCCGTTGCCGAAGTCTGCTGTTCGTGCCCTCCGACAGACCAATGAGTCAGGCTAGCACACACTCCGAGAGGAAATCTCGGCAGTGTCTCCAATTCCGGCGCGTGTTCGGTGTAAACGTGTGTGTGTATGGGATGACAAGGCGAGGCCACAAGTTACTGGCAATGTTTGTGTGAAATGAGAACGGCCTCTAAAAAATACGCCATAACGAGACGAAATGTATCGACAATATTGAACGAGAATCACGCAAAGCAACGGGAAAATGAAGGTACGCATAAAGTGGAATGAAGAGGTAAAATAACTTCCACGGAGCATATTCGGATTTATGGGTTGTAGAAAAAACACCGGATGGCTGGAGTGGATAGAGTGATTATTGTATAACGGAATAGATAACGGTGTAAATGATATCCTTGACAGTAAAGAAATGTGAATGGAGAGAGATCTGTGAATGTGAGGGAACAGACCTGGATAAATGTATCATTGGGTGAGTATTTCAATAAAAGTCACAAGTATCAGACGGGAAGGGGGCTAGATAAACTGGAAGCAATATGAACAAATGTATTGATAGACGAATAGACAGTCATGTGGAAGGAAAATATGTAATCAGGCTTGATGGTATCATTAGTAATGGTAGTACACTACCAATGCCAATGCTTTCGTGCATTATTATTGATATCATATGTATATATATAGCAATAATAAACCATGTTAGCAATAGTACTAGTAACGGATAGATGAGTAGATGGACGGATAGATAGCTGGACAGATAGAGAGATGGGTAAATGGATTGACTGATAGTTGGATAAAGAGTAGATGGATAGATGGGTAGATAGATATATGGATAGATGCATAAATGGACAACATGATTAATAGTTATCAGGCATGATGTTATCATTAGTATTGGTAGTACACTACAAATGCCAATGCTTTCGTGCATTATTATTGATATCATATATTACCATACAATATATATATATATATATAGCAATCTGAT